TATTATTTATTTATTTTCTAAGAACAGGCCTCACTGTGTAGCTCTGGCTAGCCTAGAACTCACTATGTAGACCAGGATGGCCTCAAACTCACAGGAATCGGCCTGCTTCTGCCTCCCAAGTGCTGGGATTAAAGGAGTGAGATACCTACCACACCCAGCACACCAATTTGAATTTATAAAATAAACACTGAGAAAACTATCCACTTCTTTTAGATTTTCCAATTTTGTGGAGTACGTGTTTTAAAGTATGACCTAATGAGTCTTTGGATTTCCTTGGTATCTGTTGTTATGTCTCCATTTTCGTTTCTGATTTGGATACTCTTTCTCCTCGTGTTTTAGTTTGGATAAGGGTTTGTTTATCTTGTTGATTTTCTCAAAGAACCAACTCCTTGTTTCATTGATTCTTTGTATTGTTCTCTGTTTCTATTTTATTGATTTCTGCCCTCAGTTTGATTATTTCTGCCCTCTACTCCTTTTGGGTATGCTTCTTTCTTTTTGTTCTAGAGCTTTCAGGTGTGCTGTAAGTTGCTAGTATGAGATTTTTTTATGTAAGCACTTAGTGCTATGATCTCCATCAGGCCCCTCCGCTTGGAGCTTGGGAACCCCACAGAAGAAGAGAAGGAAGAATTGTAGAAGCCAGAGGGGTTGAAAAAACCAGGACCACATGGCCCACAGAATCAAATAACCAAGGCTCATAGGGGCTCACAGAGACTGAAGCATCAATCACTGAGCCTGCATGGGTCATATATCATGGTTATTACAGCTTAACGTTTTTGTGGAACACCTAGTAGTGGGAGTGGGGGTGTCTCTGACTCTGTCACCTGCTCTTGGGACCCTTTTCCTCCTACTGAGTTGCCTTGCCCAGCCTTGATATATAAGGGTTTGTGCCTAGTCTTATTGTATCTTGTTTTGGTTTTGTTTTCTATTTATTTATTTTACATCCTGATTGCAGCTTTCCCTCCCTCCTCTTCTCCCAGTCCCTCCCCTGCCACCTCTCCCTGCCCCGCCCCATCCTTTCCTCCATTTCTATTTAGAAAAGGGCAGGCCCTCCGTGGATATCAACAAAACATGGCATATGAAACTGCAGTAAGACTAAGCACCTCCCCTTGTATTAAGGCTGGGCAAGGCGACCCAACCCAATATGAGGAATAGGGTCCCAAAAGTCAACAAAAGAGTCAAAACCAGCCCTCGTTCCCACTTTACAAGTCCCACAAGAAGACCAAGCTATACAACTGTCACATATATGCAGAGGGCCTAAGTGAGTCCCATGCAGGCTCCCTAGTTGTTGGTTCAGTCTCTGAGCTCCCATGAGTCCAGGTTAGTTGATTCTGTGAGTTTTCTTGTGATGTTCTTGACCCCTCTGGCTCCTACAATCCTTCCTACCTCTCTTCAGCAGGATTCCCTGAGCTCAGCCTAATGTCTGCATCTGTTTCCATCAGTTGCTGGATGAAGCCTCTCTGATGTCAACTGGACTAGGCACCAATCTATGAGTATAGCAGAATATCATTAGGCATCATTACATTGACATTTTTTTTTTCTCCAGTCATGTTTGGTCTCTGGGAAGACAATCTGGCTGCAACATCTGTCACCACATTGATCACCAGGGTTGATTCAGCTGATCTGTCTGACTAGGCGGGTGTCCCCTTCCTCCCTCACAGCTCCATGTGCACCTCTTCAGATGTGCACCTCTTCAGAAGTTGCATGCTCGTTAAGAGGACGACCTCCCCCAATAGAGGAGGACCGGTCCAAACAAGGTCTCAAGGTCTATTTATTGTGTCTTGTTATACCGTGTTCAGCTGACAGCCCTGGGAGGCATGCTCTTTTTTGAAGGGAAACGAAGGAGGAGTGGGCCAAGGGGAGAGGAGAGGAAAGAGGATTGGGGGGGTGTGGAGGGAGAGATGTACTGAAAACAAAGCAAGCAAATGAAATAAAATTTAAATAAATAAATACCAATACAAACTTCTAATATCAGGCTGGGGGTCCTGAGGACTACCAATGAAACCTACTATGAAGCTGGGTTTGCATGGTTCTCTATGGCAAAGCTGGTCCCCAGAGGAATTTCCAACCATAAGAACTGAACAGACTAAAAGGATAACCAACCTATTCGACTGTGTTGTTTTCAGACCAAAAAATACCTGTCAAAATCTCAGGGACTACTAAGTCTAAGGACATGTCTACAACAAAAAAATAATTAAATGCTGCAAAAATAAGCATAAGGTATAAGGAACGTATGGTGCAGACAGCACAACTAATTGTACAAACAAATCACTCGAATTCTATAACGGCCTTGACACAGGTTTCCAGGAGCATTTTCCAGGTGGTAGACCAAGACGACACTATGTGAAAGAATGAATGGCTGTGGGGTCTGGAAAGGCTAAATGAAAAGCTGTATTTCTTCCTTTTAAAAATTGACTTTTAGTTATGTGTATGTGTGTATGTCTGTGTGTGGGCTTGTCCATGTGCATGTGGGTGCCCACAAAGACCAGAGGAGGCGTCAAATGTCCTGGAACTGGAGTTCCAGGCAGTTGTGAGCCACTCAGTGTAGGTGCTGGGAAGCAAATCCCGGTCCTCAGCAAGGGCGGAGCCTGCTCCTTACCACTCGGCCACCCATCTCTCCAGCCGCAAGCTCGGCACTTTCGCTACAGCTTTAAGACCTGGGCATGTCTCTCCAACACTTACAAAATGGAGATGAAGGGCTGGAAGGGCAGCTCAGCAATGGGGTGCATGCTTGGGAAATAAGGGGCTCTGGGTCAACAACGACAAAAAGGAACCAGGGCTAATAGCCACCACAAAGGATTTGATTATTCTCCCTTTTTAAGGGCTGAGGAGATGGCCCGGTGGGGAAAGTGCTGCCTCAAGAGCATGAGGACTTCACCAGAATCCAAGTAAAGCGGTGGCAAGTGCCTGTGACCCCAGAGCTACAGCATGATGACTGGAATATAGGAGACTCCACAGAAGCTTGAAGACCAGCTGGTCTGGCATATGCAGTGGCCTGTCCTCTGACCTCCACGTACATGCCATGGCATGCATACACCCACACTCACACACAAGATGTTTACACACACCTACATTACCACCTTAGTTACTTACCACCCCCTACACATACAGACACAAGTAGGTTAAAAAAAAAATCAATTAAAAAAAAACAGAAAACATTTCAAGCTCTGAGTTTACACACTGGGCACTCAGAAATGGACAGGATTGGTAGCATCATGAGGATCACACTTGGTACTCTTTCACAAGGCACACTTTGCAAGGTCTTCTGAAAAGTCCACACTGCTTACATGTGAGTGTGCTGAATGCCTGTAAGAGTACACTGCCGTCAGCTCTCTGCCCGAGACCTACGTTAGAAAACCAGAACCCATCTGTGTGCATGCGTTTTCTCAAAACAAAGGAGCCATGCTCTCTGGAGAGTTAGCCAATCCATCAGGAGCAGTGCCGCCTTGGAAAAGACAATCCCACTCTGCCTTCCACGTACCGATGATCTCAGCTCTAAATTCTCAATACACAAAGACTCCCACATAAGTTAATGGGAAGTCAATGGGAAATTGACTTTTCCTACTCTGGGCTGGTAGGAATGCAATGCTCTGTTAATCATGCCATCCTTCTTGTTCTCTTTCCTCCTACCCTAAATTAAAACTATTGGCGGAAACCCACGCAGACGGGTTTACAGTTTTCATTACGATGAAACAATGTCCTGGTGGAAGTTGAGGGCTATCAAAAACATACATCCTAACTGTTGGCTACAATTAAAGTCTCGGAGAAAAGCAAATGTCAGGTCTTGTCCATCATGTTCACCGGAATATCACTTTGCATCTGGAGAGCGCTTTCACATCTATTATCTATTCGATCATTACCATCACCCTGTGCAGCAGAAAGGATGTGTGTTATTACCCACCACTGACAGATGAGGCAACTGTGGTGCTGAAAGGTTAAGTGATCCGCCTCAGGCCAGGAACCCAAAGCAGAGCTGTGGTTCCCTCCTAGTGCAGTGTCCTCCAGCAGACCACAGGAAAGGTTTGCCAGACAGATTACAGACTCAGGTAAAGGAAAACTAGGGAGGAAAGCTAACCCCGGGCTCAGGCAGCTGTAAGTCTCTCGTTGTTTATAAATTTTCCGTGACTGGTGCTGAAGCTTTAGAAGAGTACCCTTTCTGCTACCGATTTTAGTCTCAGACAAAAGTCAAGATACCAAAGGAAAGTCCACCTAGTGTACATTCAGATCACTTTGGATCAGTGAGCGGCCCCACTGTTCATTTCAGAGTATGAGCAGGAGGATGGGCAGTGCATAAAATACCCAGGAGTACATCTTTAAATCCTGCGTCCATAAAAGCCGGCAGCTATATCATAGCTGAAGTCTGGAAGGGTGAAAGAGATCTCCAGTCAAAAGTAGATTTTGAAAAATTTTTTAGAGCCCAGGGGTTCATTTTTAATGAGCCGTTACTTTAAGTACTGCATAAAAAATACAGGAAATTGATAGTCCATTTAGTCTGCACCATACCTAATGCAAAAGTCATTAAGATGCATTATTCTTAATGTTCATGATATGATCAGTAAGTGTCTTTTGAAAATAATGCCCTTAACTTTCACATATGGAAATCTTGAAAACCTTATCTATTATACTGAAAAATGCTATGGCAACTGTGATTTACTTACATATCTTCACTGTGCCCAAGAAACAGCATCCTCAATTACATTACCATTCTTTAAAAATAGTCCTTGTTTGCTAGGCTGATGAGATGGCTCAGCGGGAGAGAACACTTGCCACCAGGCCTGACAACCTGAGCTGGATCCCCAGAACTCACACGGTGGAAGGAGAGAACCGACTCCCGCAGGTTGTCCACACACACACGCACGCACACACACACACACACACACATGCACACACACACACACACACACACACACACACACACGCACGCACGCACGCACACGCGCACACACACGCGCACACACACGGTTTTAAGAACCTCCAACAGCCCTCATACGCAGTGCACTTACGTATGACAGCATCGCCTTCATTTCTTCATCACTTCTCACTGTAATCCTATCTCCATCTTCATCTTCATCTGTTTAAAAATGAATATGATGAAAGGGGTAAGACGTGCATTCTGTTTTTTGAAGATTTATTTCATCATTTCATTGTGTATGTAAGGGAATATGTGCACATGGGTGCAGTGCTCACAAAGGCCAGAAAAGGAGTTGGATCCCCTGCTCTAGAAAGAACTCAAATTTCCTTTAAAAAGGAAGGTAAAATATTAAAATAGTTCTCTAGTTACTCTAGACACATATCTAGGTCAAGCAAATTTGACTGGAGTATGACAAGACTGGCTTTTGAAGGAAGAGAGGCCTCCCAATCCACTTTCAGTGCTTTAGGTCTCCTGTGGCACCGTGTTCCCGTTCTCTTCCTCCTCTCTCCCCGAAACCCACCACATCGCTGAAGCAGGGTGAAAATGTCTCACGTCTGCTAAACACTGCTGCACAGAGGGGCTCTGACTTGTGCTTCATATGTAGTACTGCCTTAAGAAGCACACTACAGTCCTGCAATGTGGACGGCAGGATTATTTCTGCTTACAGAAGACAAGCCTGGGGCCTCCCACAGGTTAAAAGTCAAGTGACTCCAACAGCAGGCTTCCATCCTTCATCCTAGTCTGCAAAGCTCTCTCCGAGAATTTTGTTTGTCCCAGTCCTGCAACACTCAAATGGTGATTCATGCTATTTTGAAATAAAGTAATAGTCTCAAGACTCAGGAATATTAAGTCTTTACAAAACCTATAACCAGAATGTGCACATTTGAATAAATAGCAAAGCGGCCACATCTAGAAACAATGTGCTCATGTCGGTAATTCTCTTAGTTTTAAAAGCTGTTTTTAAGAACCTAAAGCTAGACCTCTTGAGAAGATCAGACCTCAATTCCAACCTAAAATAGAATTGTTGGCCTAATCATCACCCACATCTCTTCCCAGGCTGGACTCGAATGACGTCGGTTATTTCTAAATATTTTGAAACTTCACCCTTCTAGAGAATAGGAACACACCTGTCGAGAGGAGGGACACATGGGTGACCAAGAGGGCTCGTGGATAAAGCACTTGCTTTCAAGCCTGCCAACCTGAGTTCAATCCCTGGAACCACACTGTTGAAGGAGAGAGATTCAACTCCCAGAAGTTGTCCTCTGGCCTCTGCACATATGCTGCAGCATGTGTGTGCCCACGGGCATACAAGCGTACACACTGAATGAATGGATGGATGAAAGAAAGAAAGAAATGTAATAACAAAATTCTAACAAGAGCAGGAGCATTTGGCAGCTGATGTGGAAGCTCTAAATACATAGTTAAAGAAAAATGCCCAAACATTTGAGCAATGTACAGAGCCTGCCCAGGTAACAACCTAGAAGGGGCAGGCCCTTGGCAGGATGCTCAGAATCTAAGTACTTGCTAGACAGTCAGCATTCTATGTCTGTTCACTCGTGGGCATATAACTGCTGATTAGATGGGCCCGTTCCAAACCTGGCGCATTGGACACCGCATCCTCAGAGAACACGTTTGCACAGCTCTGAAGGAACAAAGGGATTTGGTTCAATACACAACCACCACACACCAACAGGCAAACCCTCCTGTCCAGAGGAAGACATTCTGAAGACGTCCTCCGGTTTGATGACAAGGCCATGAGGGCCATGGGAAGGAGTCTGTGCTTTTCCCAATTAGCCTATTACTAAGCAAAATACTAGTGGTTCCTTTTTGTTCTCAGTGGCCAGCAGCAAACTGACAGTACCAGGAGAGGAAGCATTTCCCTTGGTTACCCTCAGTGACTTGAGCCAACAGTTCTCCAGGGTCTTCTTTCCAAAGCCTCATGCTGCAGAATTCCCCAAGTCTACTGAATCAGTTATCTCCACATCACTGTCCAAACAGCTGGGAGCTGTCAAAAACCCCACACACCTTTAATCCCATTTAATCTCAGCACTTGGGAGGCAGAGGCAGGTGGATCTCTGTGAGTTTGAGGCCAGCCTGGTCTTCAGAACGAGATCCAGGACAGGCACCAAAGCTACACAGAGGGAAAAAAAAAAAGGAAAAAAAAAAAAAAAAGAACCCCTACTGAAAACTCTACTGCCAAGAGTAAGGACCTCCACACTAGCATGCAAAAAGACACATTTACGCATGCATCCCTGCACGTCTGGGAGATTTCTGCACATAAAGAGTTGCTTTTTCTGTCTGTGTTTGGTTCTCCATACAGACTTTCTAAGGACAAACTGGGGAGAAACAGCATCCTAGCAGAAACAAGAAAGGTGTTTCTACACAGGTCTTAGAAACTAACATACTCAGGCTAAGTTGGAAGTTTCCTTTGAAATCCAGGAGATAAGGATGAAGAAAAAAGTAGTGTAAAAGCGTAGACGGCTATGAACCACCCACACGAAGGCACTTCATATTTTGCTTTAACGCCAGGTCACAGAGGGCTGGGAAGACAGCTCAGCTGGGCAAGTGCTTTGCCAAGCAGATAGAACTCCTGTGCGAGGGACAAAGAGACAGGAGGGTCCCGGGGCCTTGCTGGCCATCCAGTCTAGCCAAGCTCCAGATTTACTAAGAGAATCTGTCTTAAAGAATAAAATGGAGACTAAAAAGACATCTGAAGTCAACCTGTGACTGCCACAGACACACTCACACAAACACATGTGCTCCTGCACACACGCATGAATGAAGACACACACAGTCAATCCGGGCCAAATTCTGCCCAACATAAAAGAGCTTCTGGCCAGTCTCATTTCTGCATCAGAGTTAGCTATGCAGATGATGGAAACAAAGGGACAGGTCATATTCAAATTTCAACAGACCAACAGACAGACGGACAGACAGACAGACAGACAGACACACACACACACACACACACACACACACACACACACACACACACACACAAACAGAGGTGACCTCCTTGAAGAGAACAGGAAAGCACTAAGTTTAGTAAAACAGGTGAGGAGCCTTTTATGACTTCTGATGAGAAACCATAAACTCCATAAGTACCATTTACATAATTATCTCTCCAAATTAAGATTAGGAAGTATTGAGGGAGAGAGGAAGTAGGGGGTGGGGTGGGAGATGGAATGAGGTGGGACTCTCTAAACTCTCAAACCCAGACTTACATACTTAAGACTACTTACAACGAAGTGTTCTGGAATTCTGGTTTCTATATAAGTTTGGGGACTTTTGCCAGGAAGTCAGCCAGCAGAGCAGTTCCTCCCAGGGCACTCCACGGATGACGGGCAGGCCCCACTGCCAAGGTACTTAAGCAGACAGGTTTGGAGGAGAAGTGCTGACACTAGCCACAGCATGGGGTCTGACTCCAAGAGGGAGAGCTCAGACCAGTTGAAAGGAGCATTCCAATTAAGCCTGGTGATAAAATCAGGCTTATGTGACACGGTGACTAATAGCTCTTCTGGCCTAACAGGATGGATGTCTTGGTTTCTCAGGGGACTGCTTTACCCTCTAATTTCCGTGCTTAGCTGCTTTAATGAAGACTCTGTTCTTGTCAAAGTGGAAGCTGGGCTGGAAAAATAACCACACTCCTGAGAATACAGGTGAGGCTGGCCAAAAAGTGAAATGGAACCTGTCCCCGACCCCATGATGGCAGCCTCGGGAACAAACCACTCACCTCAGCATTTAAAGAGAGGATGCGTCTCTTTGCAAAAGCAGTTAAATGAGAGGCCTGGCAAGCAAGGGAGAGAGGACAGCAGACATGCCACCAAGCAGCTTGGCAGACAGTCACCTGAAACACCTTTAAACCAAAAGTTAGACCTGCTCAAACAGCTCCAGCGAACACCCTGCCTATCTGCCTTTCAAACTGCATCGGCTATTTAAAAACTACACTCACTAGAGTAATAAATCCTGAGAACTTACTAAAAGGGAACCCAGAGTTTGAAAGGTACAAACGGCTGGTACAGAGCTCCGGAAGGAAGTGGCACTGAGCAGAAAGCAGAAAAATATAACCTGAGCTCTTTTCTGTCCTATACGGGAAGGTTCTTTGCCATCTGACCAAAATAACATTACTGGATATAACCGGGGAGGGGGGGTGCGCTCAGGGATCTGACACACTGGTTCACAATGACAATCCCAGACTCCTCTAGTTGCCTGGAGCATAGTAATATGATTTTCCAGCACATTAGGGAAGCAAAAGGAGAACCGGAAAGTCTATGCACTGGCTGGATTTTGTTAATGTCACTTAAAATGGAGGCAAAAATCCTAGCAAGATACCAAATAGAGTACGGCAGATGGCAAACAAATATTATGAAGCAATCTTTACAAAATCTGCAGTGTGTCACAAATATACAAAATGGCAGAGTTTGGGAAAAGAGAATCATAACAGGCCATATGTTGTTCACAATTTTTATCCGAAGCGACATGCAATCTGAAAGACGAACTAGAGGAGGCGTATAAAGGCCCCAGAGGAGAGCAGTACCTCAGGTAGGGGTGCTCAGAATGGCCCAGCGAGTAAAGAGCAGAAACTGGGGAACCTGCAGCACCCACCACAGTGACAGGGGCTCAGGGGGGCTTTCCACAAGGAGAGACAGAAAGTGGAGGCAATATATTATGTGTCATTTGTCATGCTCCTTCTGGACCAGGTAGAAGTCAAAGAGAACTACAGTAATGGCAGGAAAGAAATGGAAACATGCTTGTAAATGTTAGAAAGACATCAGTAGGAAATTACCAGAAAAGATGTCAAGTTCAGCGCAGTTCTCAGGGATGGAGTCCACTGATCTAGGCAGGATAATGGGCCATCGTTTCTGTGGTCACACCTTCATATCCATGAGCTATCACTTAGCTCCTCCCCTCCCCTCAATGCTCCAGTGCTTCCTTGTTGCTTTGCTTCCTTCTTCTTCTTGCCAAAGAAAGTGCCTACTATGTGGCAGGTGTGATACCCGGGCACAGAGGTGGTGAAGTGACGTGTGGTCATAGAGACACAGATGACATTTGGGGAAGAACACTGGGGGCAGAAAGAACAACTAACACAGAGGAAGAATTCCCAGCATGTTCCAGAAACAAAGGAAGTGAGACTGGCTAGAACAGAATGCAAACAAGAA